AGTTACAAGTTAATCTATGTCGAATTAATTAGCAGTTGGTCGACTGCCGCACGCGCGGCTTATTCGAAGTAATATCCTTTGGCAAAGTATTCCGTGAGTAACACCTTGTTTGAAGGGCTATTAATGTGGCGTAATATTAACAAGATGTTAACGACAATGTTTTTGGTATTTTTAACATTGATGAAAATTTTGAGGATTCTTATTAATGCTTTTGAATTATAACAGACCTTATTTATTTATATTTAACTGCTAGATGTTTTTTACTATATATATTAAGGCCTTATATATATTTTATATATCAGGGTCATCGATAGTTTTATGTCAAATTCATTCAATTGTATATAATACTAGTAGGTTTATTTTATAAAATATACCTCGAAATTTTATACAATGGTTTTATTAACAGTTTTTGAAAAGGATTTTCATTATCAACCAATAACAGACAGCAGCAATACTATTCTGTAAAAACAAGCTGTCTTATCACTGCAGAATCCGAGGTATGATTTCAAATTAGAATACGAATTTCAAATACATTTCAAATCATATAGCAGATTTCGCGGAGAAAAGAAGTATTCTTACAGAATAGCACTGCAGTTATGTTATGAATTGTAAAATCTTCAGTATGCATTTTTTGCAATGCATTTATTTTATGACTAAGCGTTCAAAAAGATATCGAAATATTAAATTATTTTTTGCACTCACATAATAATGCGCTTCAAGAAAATGGTTTTGCAATTATGCGTGTTCCCAAAATAGCCGACTTATTCAGAAGTAGTAGGAGGACAGTTCAATTAATTGCCATCAATGAACACACTGCGCTGCTCATGCGAATATTCTCAAACTGTTTATTTCAAATGAGGTAACACTATAAAATACATATATACATAGGATTTATAACAGCTTTGATCATATTATTTAAATAGAGTAGGATGAGCTCTATCTCAAAGCTTTACTGAATACAAAAAAACATGTATAATTTTTGCATTTAAATCAGACGGCGTTCATGGTCTGTGTACCCAAAGGATGATAAACTTAACACTATTAATATTACTACGCTGTCTACTTGTCTGTCACAAGGAAAGAATTATAATTTCTAAATCGTTGGTCACAACTCAAAAGGCTCAATCTAATGAATTGGAAGGTAAAGTGGATGTCCCGGTCTCAAACCAATTAAAGGAAATTATTAACTTTAAAATGTTGCTATATAGCCTAACTGCGATATTTATTGCTAGTTTATTTTTTATATTGTAAGTTACCTAGTTATAAGTTGTATTTGGGAAGGAAAATATTTGATTTCTTTTTGTTTATTTTATTATTCAAGATAATCGGTTTAAAACTGGGATGTACCCTAATTTGACCAGCCGGCCCCAGTTGTTATCAAGAATTGTACCAGAGGTTGACCATTTATAAAAAAGTGAAATAATAACTACATTCACAGTTAAATGCAGACGTATTTTATAATCAACTTTATGGTTTGGTCTTAGGACTAATTGAGATTAATAAGTTAATTAAATTAAGGTCAGTCTCAACAATCACAATAGTAATTCTTAAATCTAAATGGCACATTTTCTAATCACCATAAAATAACGAATCATAACTTAAACTTTGAACTTTTTAAACAATCTAAAGTTTTGGTTAAGTAATTCTTTGTTAATAACAAACTTAAATATTTTTTTTAATTGTTAAAAAAAATATTTAAGTTTCATAATTAAATTCACGTAATGATTCAAAATTAAAAACTGCAAAATTAAAAAAGGAATCAGATCCAAAAAAGATACTTGGCCATTTCTGGTACTTTATACGAACCTCTATTATTAATTGACACAGGAGCATTAATTTTCTCCACTATGCTGTCATTAGCATACCAAATTTTATCTTCTTTATCTGGCCATTTAAAAGTATTAGAAGTTGATATCACCATCGTACTAACTTCTTTACTCTTTTGGTCAATATTTTTGACAATCCCGGGAAAATACTCCCCTCGTAGTTTACTATAACCTATATGATCCTATTTCCTCGTCTGATCTATATTTATTACTGTAATTAAATTGATCAAAGGTTAATTATCCTCATCGGAATCAGAATCAATTCTATTCTAAACTCTCTTTTTTACTCGTTTTCTTTTAGGTTACTCAACTTTTTTCAACTCTTGTAATTTCTTTTTTTCTTCTCTTGCTAATTTCCTATTTTCTTTTCTTCTTGTTCCTTGCTTTTTTCATTCCAGTATTGCATCCACTCTGCTGATGTAACTACATCTGGCAATCGCTTTCTATTGAACCTTTTATTACCACCTTTTTTATTGGTGATTCTGCAGGCATTGTGCATTCTTTTTCAGAACTAAAGTCATTATTATGTATATTTGCTGTTGATTGAGGATCTGACAAGTTGCAAGCATTATTATTAATTTCTTTTTTGGTGGCATATTGTATCTAAAACAAGAAAACAAACCTCATATTAAGAGTTTGATCAATTATAGGATTTGTATGCAGTACCAATGTCAAACCACTGGTCAACTAATGGAAACGTAAGCAATTTACTCCTTTAAAATTGATAGTCGAGTTACAACTCATATTCTAGACATGAAACTGTTAAAAAAAGTAAAAAAAAGAGTACCACTTCAGTGTACTAATTGTTGACCAAATCATGTACCTTTTGTTAACCAGTAAAATAATTCATGAAATATATCGTTTGCATTTGAAATTCATTGAAAATCTTTATAATAAACAATAAAATGATTACAAAAAACAATCATCCGAACAAGTTCATTAAAAAACAATACAAAATAAATTAAAAGTGTTCTTACCTTTCTAAACATTATCCTTACTACAATGGCGGCTGAATGGCAACTGTCAGCGACAAGTCAAAACAAAATTAAATTGTAGCTTTCACTGGTTGTCTCTTTCTAGTCGTAATGTGATTGGTTGGTTTGTATTAGTACCAACAAGATGTAACCAACATTTACTCAAAGCCGCAAGTGGTCAACAACCGGTGCGTGGTCAACTGTAGGGTCAACCATCCAATTTTCACAGAATGCGTGTTAGCATAAAATCATAAGAAATAAAAAAAACTCTAACCCTGCGTTCGGTCAATCCTCGTTTGTAAGTCGAACAAGCACTTGCCTGTTTAAATGCTATACAAATAAAATTAGTTCTGTTTTCTCAGAAAAATAAATGCTTTAGAAAAAGTGATTTTCCACGGGGATGGAATTATGGTTCAGGAATATCAGACAGACCAAGTTATCTGCTGCAGAAATCACCACTGTACCAGCAATATTCGAATTTTTTTTTAATGCGAATGTCATGTTTATTTTTTAAATGTACAAAACTGCTAGATTTATTCATAAATCTTAAATAAAAAAATACTAGAAAATAATCGACTCGGCCCAATCGACTTGTGTCAAAATCCAAAATTGCTCAAAATCCATTTGACATGTAGGTGTCAGGCTGGATTTTGAGCCTGACACTACCGAGCTAGTAAAAATTTCTTTAAATGTTAGGTGGAGCCTGTTTACAGGCTTTCGGTTTTCTGTATATTTGACAAACTAGACAGTTTAAAGTTTGTTTGAGTTTTGTTCTAAACTTTTCTAAAACTGATGATGTTACTTTTAGATGAATAATGTTAAATTAACATTTAGCCATAGCTTTTTCTGATTTGTATTTATATATGACGCAGCAAATTATCCCGTTTTAAGTCAAGTGTAAAAGGAGAGCAGCAGAATAATGTGATGAATTCATCTTTATTTCATCATCATTAGCCTATAATATCCCCACTGCAGGAGCACAGGATTTCTCTGTGGATGGAATAGGGAGATTGGGCACTGACCGTTACCCACCACGTGGGCCCAGTGCGAATTGGTGCAACCACCAATCCACAATGGGCACTACTGCAGATGCTGTCGGGACCAACGACTTAACATGGTTTCCGAAACAGGGAGGAGCTCGAAATAATATGTTTTTTGACACTTATACATTGACCGACCATTGCGAAATTTCACGATCGCAGGCCGAATGCGCTAAACACCTGCGCCATCGAGGTCCTCCATCCATTTTAATCTAGTCGTTTTCAACTCAACTGCCTGCCCCGTAGAGTCCTGAAAGCCTAAAACATTGCTTACTATCAGGAACGACACCATCAAAAGGAAGTTTATTTCTTCTGTAGGGTGTTAATTTGTATTCAAGCGGAAAATCCAACTACCCTATCTCTCTTGACTTTAAATAGTTTACAACTTCAGTGGTTTGTTATAGGACTATAATAAGAGTACTTTTTATATCTATTCTAACATTCTACCTTCTTTTGTTACAGGTAGTTCCTGCTTACACTATGCGGATTTAATAGTATAAGGGTTTGGCTCATATTTTACGTACCTATACAAATTTTAAATAATCATTTCATTAACCGAACAACTAGTGCTCAATAAAAGTTAGCTTAAGCAGTAACGTTGATAATGTCTGTAGTTATAACCTATATCTGTAGTTGGTTGTGAATTTCGAAACACTCGAATTCGAATAGCCGCCAAGGTCCTTTTCATTCAACTTTTGGAAGAAAGGGACGGAAGATCTTTTCGTTTTCAATGGATCTGAAAGCGTGTGTTGATAGGAGGTTGATAGCCTTTCCTTCTTGGGATTGTCCGATGGGAGCTGCGCGCGCAATATTTTCAGGGCGCAGGACGCACTGTTTGCCAGAACTATGAACATTTAGATAGGATGAAATGGAAAAAAGCTTATATCATTTAAATATGAAACAGATGTTAAAGATATGACTGATGACGATGATCATTTAAATACGATTGATATTACCTAACCTCGTTCTTTTGCGTATTCATCAAATTAATGCGATATATTCAATTAAAATCAGCTATTACTGTATAATAATCCACGATACTTAACTAGCTACCGTGTTCCCTAATTCCAAAAAAAACAATAATGTAATTTGGTTGACAAATAAATAAATGCCGTATCTATTTCTTTACACGGTCTTCGAATGCTTCAGTCGCCAATAGAGGCCGACCTATCACATCAGGTTCTGCCGGCATTCATTGCGGAGGGTGCTATTGGCCTTGTTTCGAATAAATTCTATAACTCTTTAGTCACCGACTAATAACACCTGGCGTATCTCCTGAGGTAAGTGTTTATACAACATTTGTCACACTGCCAAAGCTTTAAGGGTTATCAAAAGCACTTCTCACGGAATATTCTAGTCGTTATATTGATGTTGGGCAATTGAAGCTACTCGCACTCTTAATGTATGTAGCGATTGACGCTTTAATTATTTAGTAGACGTACTACGTCGCTTTCACCTCTTTTGTTGTCGATAGAAAACACACATGTTTGGTTGTAATCAGATACAGGAAAGGGTGGTTTTATTTTTGTATGAGTGTATATAACCACACATGTATATGCGTAAGTGCCTATATACAATACCCCTAGGTTGGTTTTAGATCTTTTTCGTTGTTAATGTCGTGTACTTTAACAACTGCGTAGTAGATGTTAAGTAACATATATCGTGCGATTACCAACTTGAATTAAATAGAATTTAGTAAAATGGGTTAATATTTTTGAGGTATTAGAAAAATGTTTCCCTTATTTGGCTTAAAATAAGCGAAGAAGAATAACTTATACAAACATAAGCAGTCAAGTAAATCGTAAATACTTTTTTATCCTCCTCTCTACCAATTTCCTTGGTTCAGCTATTTCAACATTACATTACTTGAAGTACTTTATGGATGTTATCGGATGTCTAAATTCCTTCACACAAAATTTGTATACAATATAAAATTTCATATTTATTGTTCCAATTCATGTTTTTACTATAACGTTACTTAAAATTTATAAGATAAAATTACGTTTAGTAAAACCTTAAATTCCTAGGTAGGTATTTGATCGTATTTGAACTTGCTAGTCCAAAAAAATAAAAATGTACGAAAATATGGTTCACAATTAGTATATTATCACCAGAAACATGACAAACATGAAATGTTTCAATATCCTTTTTCCAAATATACTAAGGCCAAGTATTAGGGCATCTATCACAACTAAAGTTATTTCAGTATTGTTATGTTTTGACGATTTATCTCTGATTGATACTTGTCACGGAGCTTTCCCATTTTTTGTTTAAGATTAGTGGTTTATGCTATTTATCTAAAGAAAGCTACATTTAATATAAAAGTAAAACATAGGTTTGTTGGAAGCACATTAAATAATTTTATCATGTATTTTAAACAGTACCCTTAGCACGAACCATTAACGAATTCGTTATGTTTTCGAGTACGAATAGTCCTTGTCAAATTTTGTATGGAAACTTGGACAGCAGCGCCATAACGGACGTTTCCGAAAACGTCCGTACTGACTCCGATTTTTAATCATTGTCCAGGCTTTCAAAATTCTTTCTAGTCAGGCGTTTCGGATCCTTAAAAACACATCTTGAACCCGTTAAAATCATAAGTCATAAATATATAAGTTCAATCGGGTTTCAATTTATACATAAAACAGGTTAGCACAGACTAGACAATTGGTTTTGTACCAAAGTGCTGTATCATACCAATGCTATTAAGTAATTTAAATTGATAAAGACCTTCATCAATCATTTTATAGTAGTATATACCAATTGATTTTATAATACGTAAGACGTCATAAGTAATCTTTTAATAATCCCTAAGTAAAGCCGGTAATAATCCTGAATAAAAATGTACATCGCGTTAAAAGAATAACAATGTTTACATGCAGTTAACTTCTATAGGTACGTATCACATTTTTACAGCATTTTCTATCTTTGATATCTATACATATTGATTTATTGAAAACTGTCTATCGTGTTACTAGTGGTGATACTAAATCAACATAAAACAATTATTTAAAGATAAGACATGTGCAAACGGTTTGGTACATATTGATTCTTCGAACAATCATAAATTAATTCACTTTATAGTACTTATCTTTAGTAAAATAGCATTATTTATCGAATATAATTATTATCCTCTTATTAAATAAACGAAGAATGCTTGGACCATACTTCGACAAAATACAAATTAATTAATTGGACCTCTAATATGTTTCATCACAATTAAATGTAGTGTAAATCACCTCTCTACAATATTTGTAACCGCAAATGGTTAGACTCACCATAGATGCGAACAGTTTATAGTTCATGAAAAATAAATTGATAGATTTTTTATGTTTTTTCTCATGCCCCACTGTCACGATAACGCGAAGATTTGCGTTGTCGCGATGTGTGTGGCCAAGATAATCACACAAGCATATTTTTTTATGGCCACAAAAACGGTCTTCGCGTCACTGTCGGTAAATTGGTGCTGGTGCGTATCAAAGTATTCATTGCGTTAAAATTTTGTTGAAACTTCCAGTGGCTTGTTTTAGTGATAGAATATTAGAATTCATAGAAAATTATAAACTAGTTTTGTGGAATTCCCCAAAGAGCCAAACCAAAAAAATTATATGTATGAAAAAAGAACTATATTCCCCGCCTAAATTATCGCGATATTTTGTATTAGCGTGACGTTGCTATGTTTTCTTACAATGTGGCCAGCGCGCGTTGTCGTTAATCGAAGTCAATGTTTTACCGCGTTTAAGGGACAGGAGCTCGATGGCGCAAGTGGTTAGCGCGTTCGGCTTCGATCGTTGAACTTAAGCAACTTTCGCAGAGGTCGGTCATTGGATGGGTGACCAAAAATTACTATCTCGAGCTCCTCCGTGCTTCGGAAGGCACGTTAAGCCGTTGGTCCCGGCTGCATCTGCAGTCGTTAGCACCCACCAATCCGCACTGGGCCCGCGTGGTGGGTCATGACCCAATCATCCTATTCCATCCATAGGGAAGGCCTGTACCCCAGCAGTGGGGACATTAATAGGCTGATGATGATGATGATGAAGGGACAGGAATCTTCGCGCGCTAATATTGCCGTAGCATCGTAATCAGGATATCAACATTGACTCAAAGATTACTTACTATTTATTTACTTCAGCCATTTTTAAATCGTATTTGTAGTTAAACTGATATACAAATACTGACTTCTATTTCCATCTTTTTCTGATTTATTATATTATTTGTAAACTTTTGTATATATTTTGTGTTATTATATTTGGTAGTCCTTTGTTTAAATCACCGACTTTATTACATCAGTGGTGAAAATAAATTACTTTAGGTATCGTTATTAGTACTTTTCGATGTACTCTATCTGAGTCTTATTTGGTAATCTCAATTAAGCTCATAGCCTCTTAGTACACTTTCTGTGGGATGTCATTGTACCAAATAGGGGACAGGAAGTTATATTTGGCAGTGACTCAGGTTGATGAAGAGACCACGGCGGTAATTGTGTCAGTTGACTACTAGTCATTGACACCCACGTCTGATCGCTTTTTGGAACAAATTTAGGAACACTTTAGAATCAAATTGCTTTAAACATCAGTAACTAATTAACAGTGCGTAGGTAGCTATTACTGGCATATGATTAGAATTTACCGATCGAATAAATACCAATAAGGCGTAAAAGATTTTTTTGAGAAATTTTCATTTAGGTAAAACGACGTCTGCAATTATTACATCAATAAAAATAATATACCAATAAACAAAGGGATTTAATTTATCTTTTCTAATTTACGTGAAAATAGTCAAGCTTGCTTAATAAATATTAAATATTGTAATATTCGCACCAAGTTTTATTAAAAGATGTTAAATTCGAAATTAAATGAAAAAATCCATTGCCTATTTATAAAATAATATCGAAGCAAAACATTTAGTACATACTTATTAATATTATCTCGGAGAAGACTGTTCTGAAAAAGTCGGATAATTAGTTTAATTTTTTCTAGTTTAGAATATTATGTTGCAATCCAAGACAGTAAAGAAAAATAGCGGCCAAATTGAGAACCCACTTCTTTTTGAAGTCGGTTATAATGATAACTACTATATAACATAAGCTTCATGGATCAAATGAAGACAGGCAGCCCGATATCGAAACACCAGTCAAGACATTCCTGGCTTGAAAAAAAATCAGAATTAATTATTTTTAAAGCAATATGTCCACTCATGAAGATATAAATTACCAGATACCTAGGTACCTGGATTTTGCATGTGATCTTATTTTGTGTTATGAGTAACACAAAATAAAATTCGCATCACAATCATCATAAATATTTAATCTCTAGTTTTTGTTTGTATGCTTTCATATAACATCGATTATTAGTACTTACTTCATTCAGTTTCTATATTACTTGTATGGGACTAAATAATTGTTGATATTTACGATAAACTTGCATATTTATTTTAAATTGCGTTATTTTATATATTTCATTTTCAAACTATATAAACTTCTGCTACGCTAACGTCAGAATCGTATCTCAGTAATAATCGGTTTTAACACAGTTCTTGTTTCTTAAACATAAAATAAAACATGCATATAGATATCAATAACAAATAAGTTCGCAGATGTATTAATTATTTAAATTTTTAGTAATTGTAACTGTGTCTAAAATCAAAACTACTGAAATGCCATTGATACACCATTATTACTTCAACGTAGCAGAATCGACACCCTAGTGTCGTGTCTTGACGTTTCTGGTTTCTGATTCCCATTTTAACATATAATTTCTTCTGAAAACATGGCTTGTTATGAGTTCTAATATCTTTATATTATTTTATAAAAGAACCGGAAAAACATTTCTAGATGGTATGTTTCACGTGAACGAAGCATGATGCTATATTGTTTGGTTTAACATGGACGTGTTATGTGTTTTGGCGAGCTTCCATCGAAAGAGAAATATCATAAATTATACTAGGTTGATTTTTTTACTATAACAAATTTTGGAGATAATATAGATGTAATCTTAGAAGCTAAGCAGATGGCAAAGTGATTTTTGTGGTTAACTTTCGTAGTAGACGGTTTTTGGATGAACGACTAAAGATATTAAATAAAACTAGTTTTTACGGGTTAATGCACTAGTTTTATTTTATGAGTGATGTGCGTGAAAACCTAAGAAACAAATAGACTAAAGATATTATTGACTCGAGCTCCTTTGTACATGGGAATCTATTGGTTGGACTGCACCAATGGAAAATTACTTATCTTTAGTTTTTGCCAGAATCAAGTTTTCTTTATATTTATGTTAATTGC